TCTTCCCCTGACCTCTCGCTGCTGCCCCTCAAAAGGGCGTACCCCATCGGGAATGCAGCATCCCAAGTGTAGACAGACTATGGACATACCACAGAATCCCAGAATGGCAGGGGTTGTGTTTCAGTTTGTGCCCATTGCCCCTTGTCCTGTCGCTGGGCACCACTGAGAAGAGTCTGGCTCCGTCCTTGTGACGCCCACCCTTGAGATATTTGTAGGTGTTGATGAGGTCCCCCCTCAGCCTTCTCTTCTCCAGGCTGAACAAGCCCAGCTCCCTCAGCCTTTCCTTGTAGGGGAGATGCTCCAGTCCCCTCATCATCCTTATTGCTCTCCTCTGGACTCTTTCTAGGAGTTCCTCATCTTTCTTGAACCGGGGAGCCCAGAACTGGACACGGTGCTCCAGGTGGGGTCTCACCAGTTTCATTTGTGGGTGGAGGGTAGGGGGCTGTGACACTTTTCCAGGTGAGAACTGGAAATGCTTTGATATTTGTTGGCTTTGGTTTTGGTTTAATGGCAGATGAAACCTTTTGGGAATTGCTTTGTTTGAAAGAACTTGAAGTTGGTGTTGATTCACAGGGGTTTTTGTGTCCTGAAAAACGTGGGGCTGGGGTGGTACAGGCAGTGTGGTACAGGCAATGCCGCCCAGCGCTAGCAAAGAACGGCTGCTCGCTCGAAGGATGCTTCCAGGAGAAGTGGCAACTGAGGACACAGGTTGTATTTCTGCAGCTGATGGTCAGGGCAGGGAGAAGGCTGTAAGCTGCATAGCATATGTGAGGTGTTAGTGGTGAACGGGGAGAGGCAAACACATGTCCTGGGCTCCCCAGTTCAAGTGGGATGTAGAGAAACTGGTGTGGGTCCCATGGAAGGGCATCAGGACAGTCACAGGCCAGGGGCAGAAGTCCTGGGGAAGAGAGGTTGAGGGAACTGGACTTGCTCAGTCTGGAAAAGAAGAGGCTGCTATCGGCCCTTGGTCCCCAATGGTTTGAAGGGCAATTTCAAAGATAATGGAGCCAAAATCTTATCAGTAGTATTAGACAATATAATAGGGAACAGCAGCCGCAACTGATAGCGCTGGAGGTTCATACTGGACATTGGGAAAAGTTGATTTCTTCAGGGGATTTCAAGACTTGGCCAGGAAAAGCCATGCCGTCCTCGTGCAGAGCTGGAGACGGCTTCAAGCAGGAGGTTGTATGGGATGCCTCTGGAGGTCCCTTGCAGCCAGAATGTCTGCCACCCCCTTCTTGTGCCACCCCAGCCATGCTACAGACTGCTTCTTCCTCATCCTCTCTCTCTTCATCTGGGTCTTGTGTCCTCCCCTGTGTAGCCCAGATGGGTGAAACATTGCCAGCGGCACTTGCCCATCAACCCAGGAGAAAGCTGGCTCCCTCCAGAGGTTGCTGTTGGGGCTCTGCAGGCTGTCCCTGGGCCGGCTGGGGCATCAGCCATGGCTCAAGGGTTGCATGCCAGCACCAGGCTTCTTTCTTACAGGCTCCTTGAACCTGCTAGTTCGCGTGCGGAACAAGCGAGCCATCGACACCCAGGTCTGGTCGCTCAGTGGGAACCGGGGAAACATGTGGCAGCAAGCACATGTGCCCATCAACCCGCCCGGGCCCTTCCAGGTAAGTCAGGTCCAAAGCCAAGGAGCCGCCGTGTGCCATGGGCTGTAGGAGACTTCCCAGCAGACACCTGCCTCCATGGCAGAGGGGCTGGGAGGGCACTGGGAGGGCACTGGGAACTCTCCAGCCCCAGGATCACTGGTGCAAGGCAAGGGCTTGGTGGATGCGGAGAATTCAAATCCACTTCTCTCTGAAGACATCCAACGTGCTTATGTGCAAGCATCAGTTTGGCTCTATATATTTTCTGATTATTGCTGGTCTGGAAACCGCTTGTCGAAGAGCTCCTTCTGGTACCCAGTCTGTGTGACAGGTCTCTTGGCATTCAGCAGCTGGGGGATGCTGGCCCGTTGGTGCAAAGCGACTTTGAGCGCTAGAGGTTTCTTCTAGCGTGTGCTGCAAGAGCCCGCCCCCACCACCCCCCCTCGTTTAGGGCTGTAGGACAGCTTGTGAGTACAAACTGGGAGCTCTGTATCTGCTCATCGAGTTGTTTATGCGTACCCGGGAAGCAAGCTGCTTCGGTACGGGATGTTTTATTGCTGGGGGCTTTGCCCACCATGCTACCTCGCTGTTGTAGGGTTGTTTGTGAGAGCCGGGTCGGTGCAGGCCGGTAAGTTGTGGCTCTGTGGCAGAATGCCCAGCGTGCTTTGTGGTACTTTAAAATAATAAATAAGAATTTAGTTACTCTTGCGAGCGCTGCTCAGTGTCGGTTGGCTTGTTAGTGGAGCACACTTAATAAAGCAGAGCTCTACATCCTCATTTATTACTCTACGGATGCTCAGCACACAGGGGTTGGTCCTGTAAGCAGTGGGGTCCGGCTCTCCAGATCCTGTGGTTCCTGGAGAAGCAGGAAGGACATTCGCTTGGGGATCTGATAAGATCTGGTCTGTGCCCTGCTCACCTCTGCAGAGCCCCACAGCGCGGGAAGGGTCCTCCACCACTGTAGCCTCACGCTGGGCTCTGTCCCGTGCTTTGCTTGCAGATCATCTTCGAAGGTGTCCGAGGCACGAGCTATGAGGGGGACATTGCCATCGATGACGTCACTCTGAAAAAGGGGGACTGTCCGAGGAAGCCAATTGGACCGAATAAGGGTGAGAGTGTGCATGCCTCAGAGGAAAATGGGTTGGTGGGAGCGCATACATGAATGCATCCGCTAGAGATGCGTGGCTGGTTTCAGAGCACATCGACGTGTTGGTGGGACTCAGCAAGGTGTTTGACTTCATCAGCAGAAGTCAGCAGAGGGGCTGTCAGGCTCTTGAACTTGTTCTTTGCAGTCATGAGTTAAGAAGAGCTCAGGGGAACAACCAGACCCTGTAGGGACTGTGCTGCCAGACACCAGCATGCTGAAGTCTGCACCAGTATGTTGGGTTGGAGGTGTCATCCCCAAGCAGCTAAAGGCTTCTGCAGCATCTCATGTCCTGGAAACCCTAGGAATGAGAGCTTTGGAATGGGAAAGACCTTCTGCAGGCTCTAATGGCCCCTGCAGCATTAAATCAGGAAAAAAAAATCTGCCTTTTGGGGCCTGGAGCCAGGGAGGGCTGGGCTTCTTCCCATTGCCCTCTGAGCAGAGAGGCACAGACATGCAGGGTGGGAGCAAGCTACCTGAGCTGTATATCACCTCCTTCCCCATCCTGGCATCCACCAGCCCCTTTCCAGTCCATCTGCATTGCAGAAATGGGGACGACCCCACTCTCATGGAGGTGCAGCATCGGTTGATGCCACTGCAAGGTGCATAGGCAGTGGATGGGCATTAGTCCTTGGGTGGGCATCACTGGTGTGCCTCGTGGTAACACGCCTTGGGTGGGGAGGAGAGCAGATGCTCAGAGTATGCAAACAGGCACTGATGAGCAAGGTTCAATTTGTCGTATTTATTTTTGAAAGAAAAAAAAGAACACCCTTGTTGAGAAAGAGCCACTTGCAGCAATTTTCTTAACTCCAAAGGTGAAGGGGAAAACAAACCATGAAAAAAGTCAGAACACCCTAAAAATTTCAAAATTTCAAGTGCAGTTAAAGGTCTCTTTCAACCCAGGATGGCCAAGCTGTAACCAAAACAGAAGCAGAACCTTTTGTTTGACTCAAGTTGAACCTTCTGGGGAAGAAAGGAGGGTTGGACTGTGAAAGGAATTAAGATCCAACCTTTTCTCCTGAGTTAGAAAAGAAACAATTTTGGGAAGCCTTGAGAATGTCCAGGGAAGGCTAGAAAGATCTTCCAATAGATCTGGGAGGTGCTTCATGGTCCGGGGTGGGAGGAGCGGCTAGGACACTGATACGAGCTGACTTGTTTGATGAGGTCTGGATCCATCCCATCGCTAATTCTTTTTCTCTCTTCTCGGCTGGCAGCGGTTGCTCTTCCAGGAGGCGGTGTCCCGGCCCTGCACAGCCCTTGTCTTTGTGGCCCATTGACTTTCTTCCTTTACATGCTGCTCAGATGATGGCAATCCTCCCCTCCTCACTGGCACACCAAAGTGTCCATATGTTACCAAAGACTGACAGGCATGACCACGCAAAGGGATCTGGTTCAGAACTGGAGCACTCCTTGAGAAAGTCATAATGTCTAGAACGAAATTTAAAAATAAAGACAAAAAAATTTTTTTAAAGCACGTGCGTGAGAGAGAGAGAGGAAGGAAAGAAACAGAAACATGCGGAAAAGAAGGAATGAAAGACAAAAAATAGGAATGAAGAAATGTGAAGAGCAAATGACGGAGGAAAAAAACACCCCCATGTTTCCCTGGGAATGTCGGACGGGGCTTCCTCAGGGAAGTGGGAACTTGTTTTAAACAAACAAACAAAAATATATTAAAGCACAAATTTCTACCAGAACAGTTACCTTCTTTACTGCAGAGCCCACAGCTTAGTGGATGATATCCTGCGGTACTCCCCTTGTCTCCCCATGCTTTCCCGCTGCCGGGGGCTGCCCCGCTCCGGCTGCAGCTCCCTGCAGTAACGCCGGCCTCGACCTTGGGCAGCAGCCGCCCGGCGTGCCGGTGGCCGGAGCATCCTGCCTCGCGCCGCATGTGCTTCAGTGTCTCCATCCACCCACACCTTCCAGGCTCTCATGTATTTAATTGCCCCCCTGTGTGGTTTGCTTTGGCCTTTCCCCACCGCTCTGTGCTTCTCACCCGCCAGCCTGAAGAAGATGGA